CTCTATGCATTTGATCTATCGGGTAGGGTTTTGTTGTTATGGGTTTTTGTTGTTTTAAGGCTTTAAGATTGTTGGTTTTGGCTACGGTTGATGAAATTCTCTTTTTTTCCCCATAGATTCATACATGGAAGAAGGACAACAGGTTGATCGAATTAGTGATTTACCAGATGATCTAATTTGTCGTATTTTGTCGTGTCTTACAACAAAAGAAGCCACTTTGACTTCTGCTCTCGCACATCGAGGGAAGAATCTGTTTGCTGCTTCAGATACGTTAAGACTTTGATGATTTTGACTACCCTTGTCCAGGTGTTTACACTGAGAGCCCATGTGTTTCACCAATTCATAAAACGTGTGGTGGAGCTTGGCGGTGATGTTCCCCCTTGAAAAGTTTTCTATAAGGATTTTTCACGCTGGATATTGGTTGCTGCCACATGACTTATCTCGCTGGATCCAAAATGGCTCTTGCTCGCTGTATGAGAGATGTTCACATCGCTATTGAATGGGACTGTACCACTGATTTTGTTCTACCTTCTGAGATGTTTTCCAGCAAGACATTGGTTAGTCTTTATATAAAAAAGGATTTATAGCATTGTCAGGGAAAACTCAGGTTCATTTGTCAATGCTCAAGACATTGTGGTTGATGGGAGTGGAGTTCGAGGCACGGGAAATGACACTTGGTAATCTCATCTGAGGCTGTGAAAAACTTGCAGAATTTCGACTCGAAGACATTGATTCTTACGAGTGGCTTTGTTACACAATTTCTTCTAACTCGGTAAAGAAGTTAATTGAAGATGAAGATCGTAATTGGGTTGGGAGAAGCAGAAGACGAGATAATGGGAAAGCTGTTAAGATGCTTGGACAGTGTTTTCCTCTTAAAGGAACCAATGGCTATGTTCAAGTCAGGCTATCAAGACCGATAATTCCAGAGGCTGTTACCTTCGAACATGTCTGTAAGGTAATCATACTAACATCTCATTTTACAAAAAAAAATTATATGACTTATATCATTCTCGAAAAGGGCATGTGAAATATCTTGATCTTCATATTGCTGGTGATTGTGTGTTATTGAATAGATCGTCTGACTATTAAAAGGTGATATTGATCTTACGGTTATGCACCATGAATTTGAACATGATGTAGCATATGACAGATCGAGCGCCTCAAAGGATTGCCGTGTATCACAGGATGGCTAGAAAAAGACAAAGAAATGGAGAGTGAGACAATGCTCTTTCTTACAGAGTTCATATACACAGGTCCAACGGACATACATTCAACATTCCAGATTCTACTCGCTCGGGACTTGTCAACACTGTCAGGCTAGAGTTCACAACCAACCATGGAAGCTCTTCACATATTTGCATCTACCGCTTCAGGGTTCATGGCCGTTAACGAGAAGACTCAGACTCTATTGTCCATATGCGTGATCTCAAGTCCACGTGAAACTTTTCTTCTCTTTCTAACATTCCCTCTCATAGATATCACTACATTTCTCCATGGTTTATTCTTTAGATTTTTCTTCTTCTTTTGTGGAATAGGAAGCACATCAATCTTAATTAGTTTCAAATCTTTTTTGGTTTGGTTTATTTGGTTAGGGACCGAATTGAAACCAAATACAATTTAGGTAAGGAGATCCATCGATTATGTCGATTAATAATGGGCCTAACGGTTGACAGATTAGGCCCAAACTTATAAATTTAAACTCGTTGAGATCAAGAGTTAAGCCAGAGGACAAATTCATACATTACAAATTGTCGTCTTCTGACTCGTTTCTTTTTCTTCATCGCCATCATTGTGTTCTGAAGTAAGATCGATTTTGATGGAAGAAGAGCTTTATGGATTTGATCTCTCAGGTACGGATTTGGGATTGTTAGGTTTTTTTAAGCAAAAAAAGGATTGTTGGGTTTGGTTACTGTTGATCAAATTCTCTAGCTTTTTTGTTTCCACTGATTCTTTCGTTGGTATAATCGCAAACATAGAAGAAGAACATTATGGATTTGATCTTTCAGGTACGGTTTTTGTTATTTTAGGGTTTTAGGATTGTTAGGTTTGGCTACTAATAATCAATGTATCTCCTTTTGTTTTCCTAAGATTCTTTCTTTGGGGTACTCGCCAACGTAGTAGAAGAAGAACTTTCTGCATTTGATCTACCGGGTAGGGTTTTGTTGTTACGGGTTTTTGTTTGTTTTAGGGCTTTAAGATTGTTGGTTTTGGCTACGGTTGATGAAATTCTCTTCTTTTTTTCCCCACAGGTTCTTATATGGAAGAAGAAAAACAGGATGATCGAATTAGTGATTTGCCAGATGATCTAATTTGTGATATTTTGTCGTATCTTACAACAAAAAAAACCGCTTTGACTTCTGCTCTCTCACATCTATGGAAGAATATGTTTGCTGCTTCAAATGTTATGGACACTTTAGTGGAACCTGGTTTCACAAAACTAGGTAACCTCAATAAAAAAACTTGTCCGGTTTATTTGAGACAATTAGTGTACCTAATTTGGTAATCCTTTTTGGTTAATGGTTGGTTCTTGTTTCTTCATCTCTCAATTAGAATGCCATGTATTAAGGCATTTAGTGGAATTTAGACGTTAAGAAAAAGTACAAACCATAAAACCAAAGGACTAAAAGATA